CTTGTTAGCTACATTAGCTTCACAGCTCCAGTGCAAAACTAACCTTGAGGCACCAAACACGTCTAATTGACCACATTTGGTGTGAGAGTGGAACTGTAAACGTGTCTTATGTCCAGTTCTTTTGGCAGTGTTTACATGTTAAGCTTCTTCACGACTGAAGCTGCAGTAGCTGCGCTGAAGCACCAACACGTATTGTTTACATTATCATTTAATTTAGAAATGTAGTTCATGCTAAAGAATCAGGCGCAGCTTCTCCAGCTTCTGTAGAGCTCATGACGGTTTGATCGTGTTTGGTTGTTTTGTCTGCTTCTCACATGTTTACTTGTTTACTGTTTGAGACAAATCGAGTAAACAAGCAGAAAGTCTGTAAAGAGTGACGTAGATGACCAACAGTCTCAGAGCCGGCCTCGTATGTGTGGTATGAACATGAACACACGGCGGGACCCGACCGATATGAGGCTCTTCTGATTACTGATGATATTTTATTTGATATGATCGTCACTGTCATTTTGTAAACTTACAGTAAATCAGGGCTGCAGGATTCGGACATAAAATGTGATGTTTGATAAAGTTGTTGGACGCTGCAGGGGGGAAATGAGAAGCCATAAATTGGGATGAACTATTATAAAAATAGCACAAAAAACTGCTCTTTAAATTATTCTCAAATTGTTATAAAATATCACAATGAGCCGCAAATTATGCCAAAATAAAGCGAAACTAAATTTAAAAATGAAATATTAAACTGAAATATTAATAACTGACATCACATTTGCTTGCAAAATGTTTACACTGTATATCGTGTCTATATAGGCCTAGAATACGATTAAATACATATTAATATTATCTTGATATATAGGTCTACAAAAAGAAGTAAATATATATATATTTTACAAATTGCACAATTTTTCAGCCACAATTTCTAATTATTCGCTGAATTTCACATTTTAGAAAAAATAACATAAAATGTGGTCTGTGCAAAAGTTCTGGCACATTTTATGTTATTTTTTCCAAAGTGTGAAATTCAGCAAGTAAATAGAAATTGTGGACAAAAAATTACAAAAAAAAAATTGATTTTTTCACCAAATTTGGCGAATAAATAATAATTATATACTAAAACGGAAATATATATATATATACAGGGACGTCAATATCGGTCAATGTTACTGGCCAACCAGTATATCGGTCGGATCCTCTGATGTACACACACACACACTCACACACACACTCACACACACACACACACACACACACTCACACACACACACACACTCACACACACACACACTCACACACACACACTCACACACACACTCACACACACACACACTCACACTCACACTCACACACACACAGACACACACAGACACACACAGACACAGTCAGCGTCTAACTTATAAGGCATGTAACAGCACGACTGGACACCTGAGTGACCTTCACTGGACACTGTGTGTGTGTGTGTGTGTGTGTGCGTGTGTGTGTGTGTGTGTGTGTGTGTGTGTGTGTGTGTGTGTGTTTCTGTGCTCTAATGTTGTCACTCTCTCCACATGTGTCTTTTTTCCCATGATGCACCTGCCTCTCCACCTCATCTCCACTCCTCCTTCTCCTCCTCTCAGCCTCCTAAAAAGAGGCTGGATTACAATCCTGACTGCTCCACGCGCACGAAGGTAACACCCTCCCTCCATCCATCCATCCGTCCTTCCTCTCTTCTCCATCTCTCTTCTCTTCTCTTCTCTTCTCTTCTCTTCTCTTCTCTTCTCTTCTCCTCTCTTCTCTTCTCTCTTCCTCTCTTCTCTACTCTTCTCTTCTCTCTTCCTCTCTTCACTACTCTTCTCTACTCTTCTCTTTTCTTATCTTCTCATCTCTTCTCTTCTGATTTCTTCTCTTATCTTCTCTCTTCTCTTCTCATTTCTTCTCATCTCTTCTCTTCTCATTTCTTCTCTTTTCTTCTCTTCTCTTCTCTTCTCATTTCTTCTCTACTCTTCTCTTCTCTTCTCAATTCTTCTCTTCTCTACTCTTCTCTTCTCTTCTCATTTCTTCTCTACTCTTCTCTTCTCTTCTCATTTCTTCTCTTCTCTACTCTTCTCATTTCTTCTCTTCTCTTCTCTTCTCTTCTCTTCTCATTTCTTCTCTTCTCTTCTCTTCTCTTCTCTTCTCTTCTCTTCTCTTCTCCTCTCTTCTCTTCTCCTCTCTTCTCTTCTCTCTTCCTCTCTTCTCTACTCTTCTCGTCTCTTCTCTTTTCTTCTCTTATCTTCTCATCTCTTCTTATTTCCTCTCATCTCTTCTTTCTCCTTTCTTCTCTTCCTTTCACTTCTTCATTTCTTCTCTTCTCTTCTCTTCTGTCCTCTTCTCTTCTCTTCTGTTCTGTCTTCTTCTCTTCTGTCCTCTTCTCTAGACCTCTTGCTTTGTCACCTCATGCTCACAGCTGTAGCTGATGAGAAGCTGACTGATCTCTTATCACACATTAGGTGAAACTGTGAAAGCTTCTTTCAGCATCTCTGGCTCTGTCTCTCACTCTTTACACTGAGCTTGTGCTGCTGTATCATCTTTAACCAACAGAGGGCGCCAGTCTTTAGCAGGATTTTCAGCCTATCATTTATGAGAGGCATCCTTTTTGTCCCCTTGTCGTCTTTTCTCACTGTAGATGACAGCAGTCCAGCAGTGATTCACTCTGTGTACGTTTGTGTGTGTGTGTGTGTACAGTAGCAGGTAAAATTCAGAACACACTCACAAACAGATTCATATTCCTCATATTCCTCATATCCTTCATATTCCTCATATTCCTCATATTCCTCATATCCTTCGTATGTGCAGAAGTGGGATCCCTGTAAAGGAGTGGGATCCCTGTAGACACATTTTCACTCAGGAAATCAACAGAAACCTGACATTTAAACAGGGGTGTTCAAACTTTTGCAGACCACATAAAACAATGATATATAAATATGATCATATTTAGTTATTAGTACATAAATATAATAATATGCACATTATTACAAATATGTAAGAATATATTTATTACATTTCGTACTTTTGTTTTGGACGTACATTTATACAGAAACATTACCTTTACTATTTGTATTGGATTATGATCATAAAGTTTATGATAAACATACAACATACATTCAGGTGGGTCAATCTTTTGAATGGTACTAACACTGTAAACAAAAAAAAAGGAACAGCTAAGGTTAAAATACTGCAATTTACTGTCAGCAATTCATCCAGTAATTTACAGTACTCATACTGTACACATACGATATGTTACTGTATTTCTGAATATAGAATTTATTACTGTATTTGTACAGATTTTTCCCCACTTGCCTGTTTTAGTACATTGTGGTACAGCATGTACAGGCAAACAGGAATCCCTCTAGCTTCAGGTAATGAACAATTGAATGTTCATGCAATCACATTACAGCAGATACAGCAGCTCTTATACTAGTCATTACAGCCCTATTGGAGCTGGATTAGTTTTCCCTGGGGAGGTTCTGTAATATGAGATACATGATTTTAATCCAAATCTGCCATGTTCGTAGTACCTGGTCAAACTCTGAGCTCCCTCAGTGATGGTAGTCCTGCACAGATCAGTATCACAGTAATGTAATAACAAAACCAGGCAACAGAAAATGGGGCCTTTTTTGTTACCTGGCTACGAGGCTAACAGCTAATTTGGGGAAATTACACAGATTGTGTATCCTGTGTGAGTCGGCCATTTAAATCATGCACAAATACCGTTACTGCACGTCCTCCGATCAAACTAATCCAGCTCTAATAGGGCTTAAGACTACCAAGGTGACAGTAACAAACATCTGTTCATTCGAACATTACAGGGCCAGTTAGCTGATACACTGTCATTGTTAGAATAACAAAACAAGTGGAATTAATTCAAACGTATTGTTAGGTTATGAAAAACACGTTAAAAAATCAAAACAAAAATCCTGTGAAATGAAACTAATAACTAAACAAACATAAACATTTGTTTGTTCTTCTTTGCCTGTATAAAAACAAATATGTCATTGATGTTGGACAAAACCTCATATCTCCAATTTCACTTTTCATTTTTTGACAAAATTTGAACAAGACCTTAATGTTGTGTCAAAATTTCATGATAAACGGATCCAAAAGAAAAAAAGGCAAAAATTACTTAGAAAAAATATTCCTCCTTTTACTCCAGTTGAAAGTTGAGAACGGTTCTCCTTTTCCTGTACAGTGACCTTTTATGAGGTTTTGTTCTGACGGCAGCGACATATGTAACTGTGTTTGTAGCCTTTGTAAAAAAGCTGTTGCGGTAATGAGGTAATGACTGTCTCAGTGCACAAACATGTGCCTGAAGGTCTGATGTGAGTAGCTGTTAATATTTTATGTCTCTCTGTTTTGCAGAATGGTGAACGGTGCTGCTGTAATTTTGTGTTTTGATATTTGCTTAAAGGAGAGGTTACTCAGATTTCTGTTTACACACCCAAAAAATGACCTGTAGTTGCATCTAATACAGTCAGACGTGCACTATTTTCCCTTTCACTTCCATTCAAAGTTGAGAATTTGCTTCTCTTCTCATGCAAAGTGACCATTTTGGAGATGCAACAGAAAAAATATGCATTGTTTCATTCATAAAGTAGCTCAAAAGGCCTTTTTAATGCACTATTTCATGAGGAAAGTTGCTGTATCAGATCAACAGTGCACTGTTGTGAACATAGGGGGCAGTAATTAACCCCTGTTTATGATCAGCTCTGCGGTCGTATTGACCAGCTTTTGTTGTAAGCGTCTCCCATCAGCACTGATCTGTATGCAGTGCGAATTGACCCGCCGAGGCTGGGGGGGTTGGTGTGGCTGGTCCTGAGTGTTCATAGATCAGTGCTGATTGGTGAAAATGAGTGATGCACAGCGAAGGACGTAACCGGCCGGGTGACCACGTGGAGCCCGGATACACACACGTACACACACTGGGCATAACGACACGCTTCCTTCAGCATCTTCAGTTCTGTGAGGGACTCTTTGGTTACCGTGGTTACCTGGACTATTTCTCTCCCTCAAAGCAGGTCAGAGTTCATCGTCACGGCGATCGAGGTGGTGGAACCCTTGCGGTTGACGGGTGTGCGAGCGCGCGCGGAGGGGGAAGGTTCAGAACGTCGCGCGGCTTCTTTGTTCCCGCGGATTCTCACCCCTCTCTTCTATTGTGTGCTCTTTTTCAGACGTCCCTCTACCTCCCGCCCTCCGAAAGGCCCGAGGGGGCCCCGAGGTGAGTCCTTCCCTCCACTTTCATCTCTTTATCACTCCTTTTCACACTCTTTTCAGTTACAGAGTGTCTCGGGGGGTGTCGTCCACCGGAGAACCAAACCTGGATGTCCTCCAAACCCATAGCTCACAGACTTGATTCTAAGGCATCATTAACATATATTACATCAACACAATGACTGTGTGAACATGACTGTATTATTATAACTGAACTGAAACACAAACTTGTGCTGAGGTAGTGTATTTTGTTTATGTGGAAATATTGCGCACATTTGACTGAAATAAATTCAGTGCATCACTGTATTTAGAGTTGCAGTAGAGCTCAAAGCCTTTGATTGTTTTTTGTGTGTTTGTGTGTTTGGCAGTGCATGTTTTTGTACATTTTCAGCACAAAAATGTCCCAACTATAGTAAAGTGGGGGCTCGCTTTGGGGCTAGGCTTACATATACTTACATATACTTATATATATATATGTATATATATATATATATATATATATTACAATATAATAACATTATTATTACATAGAGATACTTACATATATTAGACATATATGACATTATTATTGCATATATATATAACATTAATATTACATACTATATGTATATATATATATATATATATATGGGACATTACTAACACATATGTACTTACATATTTTTATTTTTATTATTTTATGTGACATTATTATTATATGTACGTACCCATAAATACATGTGGGACATATAATTATTACATGTAGATACCTACACATCATTGCTGTCTCAAAAAGCATAGCTTCACTGGATAACTGGATTACATAATAACTTATAATGGACATTAATATAAAAAATATTTTAACAAATCCCCCAATTATTGTTGGACTGTTTCTACACCATCTGTTCATCATGAAATTTACAGGAGTTTACAAATTAAATATATAAAACACGTGTATAATACACACGTGAGACCCCACATCATGACACTGCATCATAACAAAGCTGTGTATGTGTTTATGTGTGTGCATGTTTGCATTCATCATTATATTAATGTGATCTGCACTGTGTTGTTTGTATGTGCAAAGAGGCCTAATAATCATTCACACACCGGTGCTGCTGGAGAGAGAGAGAGAGAGAGAGAGAGAGAGAGTGTGTCAGTGTGTATATGAATGGCTCTCTGTGACCCCCACTGTTCTCTATTCATCTCAGCATTATCTGCAGCTCACATAGCTTAAAAAGAGACCCTACAGTGTCCACAGAGGGACGTGTGAGTGTCCCTCAGTGCAGCATTGACTGTGTTAATAAGTGTTGGATCAGTGGTCAGTGTTGACCTCATTGGGTGCATCTGCAACAGCTTGTGTGTGTGTGTGTGTGTGTGTGTGTGTGTGTGTGTGTGTGTGTGTGTGTGTGGTAGCTAAGCCAATTTTGAATTCACTGTTTTTGTGGCATCACAATGACCAACTCATTTACATATGTCCACCTCTTTCTGTCTAGTTTAGCTCCTCCCACTCACACTGAAGCTATAAGAAGTGTTTCAGGCTTGACTGTTTTCTTAGATTTAGTACAGAGCAGCCAATCAGAACAGTGCTCATTTACATATATCAGTCTTAAAGGCGCAGTAACAAAAACAGCCTGTTTCATTCTAAAGGATAAAAAGAGGCTGGAAAAAATTTTTTAAAAATGATGATTTTGGTACGTTAATCTACTCAAACATGGTAAATGTAGGATAGCGTCTCTGTCACTGTTCACATTTTGTCATTAATGTTAACGCTAACCTGAAATAAAAACAACAGTGAGGATGTTTCATCATTTTGCGATGCATTGTGGGATTTGCAGTGCTGCCAGTGATTACAGGAAGAGGCGAAAGTCGGAGCCGTCCGGCACGGCCAATGAGCAGAATGCCAGTCAGGTGCCGACGCGCCCACTCGACCCCGTCAGGTCCAGCACTCTGAAGAAACCCACCATACGTTCCTCCCCTTCATCCCCATCCAGAGGCAAAGGTACGGCACGCTCACGTCCTCCAGGTGTTCAGGTTCTTCGTATGACCCACCAGTGTTGTCTGGAAGAATTTTTTCTGTGTGTATTAAATGGATAATCAAACCATTATGGCTTGTGCTGTTTCTCGCTCACCCTATTATTCATTGACCTGTGTTTCGATCCCACTTTATATAAACCGCCTCTAATAACTGTGTAGTTACACATTAACAATACATTCAAGAACATTGTAACTACTGGAAATGCATTTGCTAAATGTAATTACACAAGTGTATCCTGATAGCTCTGACAGCATATTTTCTCTTATGTCATTACACTTGTGTAATAGGTTGAGGCTTATTACATTTGTATGAACTGCTGTTTTTCTAGGCTTTTCCAGTTGTAACAGGTGTGTAATTACCCATAATGTGTCCGCACTAGCTGTAGTTGTACACTTGTGCACAACAGCTGTTCATCCTATTACACATGTGTAATTACGTTTGAGAAAATATACACAAGATACACTAAGCTGTACTACTGTGATTTATCTGTAGCAGTGAATATCGCCAGTAGTTACATTGCTGTTGTGTGTGTTGTTAATGTGTAACTACATGGTTATTATACACACTAATTCCAAAGTAGGACCATAATTTCTTCTTTTCAGTAGCCAGAAATAGAAAATGTACACTTTTCAGTCTGTCATGATGAACTTTACTGAGTGTTATTATTATTCAGTAAACACAGTTGACCAGTTGACTAATCTTTACAGCCAATATTATACGCACCCCCCACATACAGTTACATATGAAAGTTTGATCGAAATACATGTTTCTGTTGATTTCCAAGTGTAAATAAGTTAACAAATCCTATACAGATGACACATTTAAAAATGGCATTCTTCTGCAAATTTTAGTGCACAATTTCTATTTATTTTATGAAGTTAACATACTGAAAAAAAAACAAAGCAAAACATAAAATACTTAGTGTGCCATAACTTTTGCACAGGCCACATTTTGTGTTTTTTTTTCTCCAATGTGTTAAACTCAGCAAATTAACGGTAATTGTGCATTAAAATGTGCTGTGTTTTCAGTAGAGTGTATATATTTTCACACAGTAAATCAACACGTAATTTGACCAGGGGTGTCCAAACTTTTGCACACAACTGTAATAGTCATACCCATGTTCTGTAGGGGTGTGGAAATTTCAGGTCACTGCCAATATCCATAATTATTCATGTGCATAACTGCTAATAACGTCATGATCATGATGTTGATACGTAAACATTTAGAAATTGAGATTTAGAAATCACCCAGATATAACATTCATATAACATTCATATAACATTTATATAACATGTATGTGTGAGCGCAGTAGCTTAGTGTTGCCGAAATGTTCTGATCTACCAAAATACAATAAATGCGTCATCAAATATTAGTTTGAAATAACAAACTTAAACGTCCGATACCGAACTTTATGAAGCAATTTCTTTAATCAATTATAAAGCAACTATCTGCCCAATTAATGTTTTGAAATTGTCTTTTTGGCTTTTACTTATTTTTTTAAGGAAAGAATGAAAGATCTTTTATCCTCTTCTTGCTGTCATTGTGCTGTACATCCTTCATCTGCTTGTTTGTAGCTCTGAATGGTTATAACGATACTAATTCTTTCTCTTTATTCTGACTGACCTTATTAATCTCCTGTCTCCCCTCTTTTTGATATGCTGCATTTGCTGCCTCTGCAGCTGGAGGCACTAGTGAGTCTCTCTCCCCATCAGTGAGCTCCCCAGGTATGGCGTCCTCTCACTTGTCTTCTGACTCCCTCACCCTCTCCACGTCCACCTTACGCAGCTCCAAGCGCTCCATCTGCTTTAAGAACGGCTGGCCGATGTCCCGGCAAGAGGGTGCTGACACCTGGAGCAGCGTGGAGGAAGAGGAGGCTTCCTCACCACGCCTTAAGTCACGTAGCTGTGATGACCTCCTCTCAGATGGGAATGGCGGAATGCCTGGAAGAGCCTCCAGTTCTATGACTGCTACCCGCTCAGAAAGTGCTGGATCCCTGATCGATGAAGATGGAACACAGCAGCAGCAGGCAAAGAGTCTTAATTCATCCCCGAGGGGACGACGACACCATAGGCGTAAGATGGCCCATGACACGCCGGGATTTTTGCAGCTGTACAGAAAGATGCACCACATTGACCGGGCGCAGCTACTGCCCTCAGAGGTGATCCGCTCTGTGCGAACTCGCATCCTGGAACTCGAGCGGCAACAGCAACAGCAGAGGAAAAACCTCCATGCCTGGCCCCCATTTGGACACGAGGTGCCACAGCACATGGTGCCAAACCGGATTTCGGAATACGAGCAGCTGATCCAGAAGTCCAAATCCATGCCGGATCTAGGTGAGGACAACACTCCATCAGGCACCACTACCCCAGGGTCCTCAAGGGCCAGCAGCTGCCCCAAACGACGCTTTTCGGTGGAGTCACTCCTAGAGGAGGAAGATCCTCCAGAAAGGAGTCCTCCAGAAGGTCAGCCTAGGCCAGGTGCAGAGAGCCGCAGCTTGGTGCCAGTGGTCAGGCAGAACCAGCACCAGCAGCAGGACTACTCAGACAGTGAACAAGATGCTTGCGCTTCTGAACTAAGTGACTTCATCCAAATCGAGGGCTCATCTTTTTGCAGCGAGAGCGACTTGGACCACTGCTCACTGGCCTCATCTGAAAGCTTCTATGGCTCCGGACACCTTCACCACCACCACCATCACCATGGACACCGGCATCATGGCAGCCACCACCATCATCTCCATCAGAGTCTGGGCCAGCGTCAAGGATACCATCACCGCCACCTGATCAGCTCCTGCAAGGGACGCTGCCCAGCATCCTACACTCGCTTCACCACTATGCTAAAGCACGAGCGGGCACGGCAGGAGAGCCGAGCCGCCATCACCCCTCCACTGGCTCAGCACTCACCCAACGATTCGGGCCTTTCCAAGCTGGCTTTCCTGGTCAGCCCTGTGCCTTTCCGCAGGAAACGGGGTTCCCCACCAACCCAGAGGCGCCACTGTCGTGCTGGCCGCCACAGATCAAAAGCATCTGTTTATGAGGCTTTAGACGCCGCCCTGCAGGACATTTATGACCACATAAGGGCTGAGAAAGGGCTGGGACCGGCACGATTGCCGGACGACAGCATTTTGCGGCGGCTACTGGAGGAGTTGCTCCCGGATGTTCCGGAGAGGAGCTCCTCATTGCGGGGACAGAGGGGGTCCTACTCCCCTTCCCCTTCCTCCCATTTCTACCAGCCTCACCACAGTGCCTCCTACCAGCAGCCCCACCACACAGACGCCTCCAACAACAACCAGCACGCCAATGCTAACACTAATGTGATCTGCTGTTCAGGTGCAGCTGTGCTAAGCCTTCCTAAAAGCCCTGTTCTTTTCCACCAGAATTTGCCATTGTCACATGGTCCCATTGTCATTCCCACAAACATCCTGTGCTGTTGTATTTGAAACACTGCCTCTTCTCCACTGCTTCATTCGGAAGGTGTTAGAATAGTTTGTTTCATCGTGGAAAGATGCTGACAGCTCGTGTCTTTACACAGACAATCAACTAAGTCCTCAAGCGATGTTAGATGAAATATTTTAAGAAGTAGCTTTATTAAAATCATGTCTTTGTCCTACATTTAAAGGACACTCTGGCCAAGATGAAACCTGTAACCATTGCTGTAACTTTCTTTCGTAAACATGCTAACTCGCCTTTTTTGTGGTGCCACAGTAGCCTGGAGCAAGATTTTCTGCTTTAAAGAGTAGAAAAACCTCCTTCAGATGATCTTTTGAAAAACTACAGCTGCTTTGCGGGCTGGTTTGGATTGTTTCTTTGTTAGCTGGACAGTGCAGAGAGAATCCAATCCAGGCTAAAGTTACTGCTGTGAAGCCAGATATCTTATAGAAGCTGCATGAAGAGAATGGATGCCTCAAACAACAGAATTGACTCACCAGATAAGGAGGACTAGAACTGAAAAGCTAATGTTAGCAAGACATCTAGCTGTCCAGATATTCTACTTTAGCCTGGCTTCTTTTCAACGGCAGAAAAGATAAACATTCATTCATTTCGTGCTGAATAGAGATAGAATAGAACTTTCTTTCAGTGTTTTTCAGTGGCCGAGACAAAAGTTACTTTAATGCTAAACTGGCTGTATTCATTAGCCCAGAGATCGCTGGATAGATTGGGTGACAGCACAGGGATTCCCAGTGGTTGAATGATGTCTTGCATTAATGCATGCTGGATATTGCGCCGCAATGCCCCTTTAAGTTTGTCAGGGTCTGAATGGGACCCCCAGTGCTATTTGTAGGATATTTTGTGGAAAAGAGGCAAAGGAGGCGTGGTATGCTCATGGTCTTTGTGGTAAATGCATGTTGTTATTTTGGTCTATCAGGTTTTGCAGCATTTTATTTAAGTATACAGTGTGATGCGCTGTATGCAGTTTTATTAAAACATTCAATTTTATGTTTGTTTTTTTCATTTTTCTTATTCTTATTGGTGGATAATGTTGTATGTTTTGACAACATGACTACAGTTTTTTTTTTCCAGTTTCCAGTTGCTTTAATACCTTGATTACCATATTTCATTTGGTTAAGCAATCAGAAGATTTTACAAAAATTTGAAAATTTTTAAATACTGAAATTTGACAGATTTCGGCTGAAATTCATACCAGTTTTCTTTGTGCATGTGTTTAGAGTTTGCATGCAGAAATGTGTTGAGGCAACCGGAAGGGAAAAATTTCCTTTTGTTTTTGATTTTTATTTAAACTGCTGTACCTAAATTGTTCCTCACATGTCTCAAATCCTAAAAGTAAAATAAACATTTTGTTTTATGCCTTTTTGAAATTGTTTTCTCCCATGTGTTTTTCCTTTTTTCACCAGTGTTTCACCTTTCACCCCTCATGACCCTGCAACGTGCTTACAAATGGTATCTTAATGACTGCTTTCTATGTGCAGTCACCTTTGACCTCTGGTATCCGTGTGTTTTACAGATCAGGGCTCTGATTCTGGCTCTCTCACGCCTCAGAACAGAAGACCTACTCCAGATCGAGAGGTAAAGAAACATTTCTGTACCCTTGTGCCACGCACCCGTCCACCGGGCCCAGATGACAGCATTGGCCAATGTAGCACGCCCTTCGCTACCCCGGGCTCAGGAAGGACGCTGAGTGGCAGGGCTCTCATTAAGTGCAGCGTGAGCACCTGAGCCATGAGGAAATGTAAGCTTGTTGTTTCGCCTCCCTGTCACCGGCCCAGCTCCACAGCCCGGCCACGCAGGTCGAACGTGAGGTGTAGTGAAGCGGCCTCGCTGCAGAACAGAAGCAGCCTGAGCGGCAGAGTCCGGGACTCACATCCCACCTTTGTGCGTCTTGTGGCCGTCATTGTTGTCGTCCCCTTTTTGGCGGCTGATGTCCTCCTCCTGTTATCACTCGTCGTCCCTTGTTGGTGTTCAGGATTCGGGCCCTGCCTTCCCGCTGGCTCTCGCGGCTGTCGTCGGAGCTTGGGGGACGGGTGCTTGGCACAACCCCGAATACCCACACTGTGTAAAAATCACCCTCCATTTCCAGTCAAAATGGCTGTTAAGTACAAGTTCAGGAGAAATTACTGAGGAGATTAGATATTAGATCATCCACCTGCATAAGGAACAAGAAAGTCAAAGCAAAGTAAGTGAAAAATCAGGAGTTTTTAAAACAAAGTTCAAAGCTCCAGAGAAAATGAGACTCCTAGCAACCACCTGGAAGACCTGGTAGACACCGCAACTGTCCCCATCAGATAAACAGCACTTAAAGCTTTCATTTCTGAGAGAGGAGAAAATCAGATCTTTGTTGAGGCTTTTAAGAAATTCTCTGGTAGGATGAGTTCCGCTTTTTTCCTGATGTTGAAAAATGAACAACCTGTAATTAAAGTCTGTTTTGACTGGAAATCAAAGCAGATTGTCAAATAAGAATGATCAAAAATGAATATGCTGGTGGAATGTTAACATGTTGAGTTTGAGTTGGATCAGTTTGGGGTTGATGGCCTCTCTGGATTTCTCCTAGGTGTCCTCTAAGCAGATGACATATCTCATATTGTCTTCTCTCCTCCATCAGAGACAGTCTGCCAGGGCTATTTACGATTTTAAAGCTCAGTCCAGCAAGTGAGTACACTCCCCGCTAACCGCTAACACATGCATGTGTATGACATCATACTCATTTATCTTCTACTATGCTGCAATATTTTGTTCTGGCTGCTTTATTGTGTCTTGTTTTGTGATGAAACCTTGAAAGGATTCTTTGCATGACTCACTTTCTGATACTTGTTTTAATCGTACAAGCATGTTTTATGTTTTAACACTGTTTAATGTATTTATATATATAAATGAATGTATAATTGAATATAGCTGGTTATTAGCAGTGTAAATGGGCTGCATTGTGTTGGATTGATCTGAAAGTTGCAGTTCAACTGCATAAATTTTTTGGAATGTTCAAATCAATTCTAATTTGTTATAATAATAAAATATTAGTGCTGTAAACATTAATATATATATATGTATGTGTGTGTGTATGTATGCACTCTTGTGCAAAACTAGCAGTAACACCAGTGACACGATTCCTGGGCACCACAACTTTCATTATATATTTTATAATATTTATTTGTTTTCTTTATGTCATTTAATTCATATATTCCATAATCAGGTATAGATTATTGTAGTTAAAACTGCAGAATGTAATATGCCAGAATGATTCAGACGCTCGCGGATGAAAAAGAGAAAAAGGCTTTACTTGTAAAATCGTGATCCAAAATCGTAGTCGAAAAAAAAGGGCATAGGTCAAATCCAAAAAAAGACAGAAAATACAAGCAAACAAACATTACCAGGCAAACAGAGTCCAAAGGGCAAAGGCAAAGAGGGCAAAGTCCAAAACACAGAAAGGTAGTCAGAATCCAGAAAAACAATAACCACAGTGACCGCTCAGTAGCTCTTGAAAGATGCAATACCTCGCAATGAGTTAAACTAAAAGCCCGGGCTTTATACAACTCTAACTAGGCAAATGAAGACAAGAACAGGTGCAACAGATTAGTATTCAGGGGAAGCTGAACGGTGATTGGTGCAGGGTGGAAGGTCATGAGTCACATGATCTCCCAGAGGATTCTGGGAGATGGAGTCCATTGAGGTGTCAGGGCTGAAGGGAGTCGTGACACAGAAAAACATGTTTTTTTACCTCAAAATATGGCCTCAGCCTTCACACATGACTGTGAGGATGAGCTCTTCTGTGGTGCTTGGAATTCTATAAGATTGATTTAAAAACCAATATTGATAAATTGATGGCTCAATTGTTAAAACAACTTATTGTTTTATTTCAAAATATAAATAAACTGTAATCTTAACATGGTTTTCAAGTGCAATATATCTTTAAATGCTAGGAACACAAAAATGGATGTTTTTAAAGCTTTTAAAAGCCTTTAAAAGCCTTTAATGGTCAAATCATTAGTTAGTAAATTAGCAAGAATTAGACAAATAGCTGCAGTAAGTCAGTGTGGAGAGATTTCCCTTTGATTATCTTTAAATCTTGAAGTTTTGTGTGTAAAATTGCAGTCAGCTTTTTAACATGAAGAAGAGTTGATACTTCTCAGCATTGACGGCTTCAAACAGCTGAAAAACATCACAGAGCTAGTTTGTGTTCAATATGACACTAAATATTCTCTATAGGGTTTAAATCTGGACTCTGACCAGCAGAACATTTTCTAAAAACCATTAGTTTCATGGGCTTGGCCCATTTTTTTGAGTGTGTAGTCAGTGAGTGTATATATCTTATATATAGTCAATGAGTGCATATATCATATATATCATATACACTCTGTTTTCCAGCTCATCCGTGACTATAACCTCCATCATTCATAAAGCATGTAGGTTCTTGTTACAGGGAGGCTCTTGGGGGGAACTGGAGCTCCACTTTGCTGTTGCTTTTGTTAGTTTGCTGCTTGTTGACTTATCCCTAGCTCTTCTGCTGTATTTGAATAAGAGAGCTACAATCTCAGATTCAGCCATAGCGACATACAGCGCGCTGCAGCTGGGCTTCAGCCTGCACTGTTCAGAGGCTCAAACTAGGACAATGTACTTATGACACTAAAACATGGTAGCATTGATAATCAAACATGTTAAAACTGCATAAATGTATATAATAATAATAATAATAATAATATTTAGTCTATTTTTAAATGTAACAGAAAAACAACCTTTTTATTGTAAGTAACTAGCTCCTTTAGTCAGGGTATGTCTGAAAATGATAATAAGTTTGTGTGTGTGTGTTTTCAGGGAGCTCTCCTTTAAGAAGGGTGATGCAATCAACATCATCAGACAGATCGACAGTAACTGGTATGAGGGAGAGCACAGAGGACGCATCGGCATCTTCCCCATTTCTTACGTAGAGGTAAATGACACAGTGAGGAGCCTCAGAGCCGCCTGGGTCTCCGAGCCTAATGATTTCTAAGAGCTAAAATCTGTTTTAGTTCATTTTTTATTTAAAGAGTCATGGCGATTGTATTTAAAAGTCAGTTTTGGAAACTAAAGGCTTAAAATATTCAAATATTGTCCAGTCAGAATTGTGGTATCTATGTAGATACAGCCAAGCGAGCTCTCCCATTGGTTAGGACTTCAGGAGCTGCACACAAGGCAAGATTAACTACTAATAAAATAGGGGGCTGACAGTGACACCATTCATGTTTTCATTTACAATGAGTACCAATAATGTCTTGTAGGCCGTCTGGAAGTTCTAGATATGTCACTGAGTGTGAACGTGAGCCGTAGAGTAACCAGGTTTCAGTCAGTTGTTAGGAATGAACAGCTGCAGCTCTATGTCGGGACTCTTTACTGAAAGAGTGACTGTAAAACTGATACATACAGATATCTGTAAATGTCTGTTACCAGCTTTACATGTATGTGTTTAATAAACACACTTAAAAAGGTTCTTCAAGGGTTCTTTAGTAAAGGCACCTGTTTTATTTAGAACAGTGAGTTCTATGTAGAACCATTTCGTGCTTAAATGGTTCTTTACATGGTGAAGTGGTTCATTAGATTGATGGAGAATGTGTTCTTCATGGTTCTATATGGAAGTTTTTTGAAAATGGTTCTATATAGCACCACAAAGTGTTCTTCTGTTTCTTACAATCTTAACATAATGACAATAGCAGAACGCTTTTGTGCTATATAGAACCATATGCAACACATTCTCCATCAATTTAAAAAAATATTTCTCCGTGCAAAAAAACATTTTTAAATAAGCAGGAAGCAGAACCATTGCCTTTATTAAAGAACCCTTATTTTTACATAAGCATGAAATAGAACCATTTCCTTTACTAAAGAACCTTCATTTTTACATAAATATGAAATAGAACCATTGCCTTTACTAAGGAACCTTCATTTTTACCTAAGTATGAATTAGAACCATTGCCTTTACTAAAGAACCCTAATTTGTACGTAAGTATGAATTAGAACCATTGCCTTTACTAAGGAACCTTCATTTTGAAAGTATCAAGTATGAAATAGAACCATCTTCAAGTGTGTAGAACGGCCAAATAAAGTTCTTTGGTATGTTATTAGTCTGGTTAGACTTGGTTTAAGTGCTACTTAGATGTGGGAAGATTGATATTTCCCAGTTTCCGACATTATTTGAAAGTGTTTTGAATTTGAGTATTGGAAGCCCATCCGAGTAGTACTAAAGACACGTGAATCCAGTGTGCTTTCACAGTGACGTCTGACCGGTGGCATAAAGAAATCTAGCCATAATGATCATAAGTGATGTTCATTGGGGAAATCTTGCAGAGGAAGGTAAAGTAGAAAACACAATACAACACAATTACAATAATAACTGAACTGTTTTCTCAGAAGGTGGCGTCTCCAGAGCGAAAGCAGCCGGCCCGTCCTCCTCCCCCGGCGCAGGTCAGAGAGATGGGGGAGGCTGTGGCTCGATACAACTTCAACGCTGACACTAATGTGGAGCTCTCACTGAGAAAGGCAGGTCCACCCACACACACAGAGGAGCTGTTAGGACATCGGGTATTTATAAGGGTATATCTGAATGATATAGAATGGTTCTCAGTCCAGCAGCGACACTGAGGTGTTTAAAAACTCCAGCAGCACTGCTGTGTCTGATCCACTCAGACCAGCACAACACACACTAACACACCACCACCACGTCAGTGTTACTGCAGTGCTAAGAATGACCCACCACCCAAATAGTACCTGCTCTGTGAGGGTCCATGGGGGTCCTGACCACTGAAGAACAGGGTAAAAGGGGGCTAACAAAGTACCAGAGAAACAGATGGACTACAGTCTGTAACTGTAGAACTACAGAGTGATAACGGTCAGTGGAGCTGATAGGATGGACAGTGAGTGTAGAAACAAGGAGGTGTATAATATAATAAGATAATTACCTTGTGTTACAGGGTGAGAAGGTGATTTTGTTGCGGAAGGTGGATCAGAACTGGTTTGAAGGGAGGATTCCTGGATCCAATAAGCAGGGAATATTTCCCGTCTCGTACGTCGATGTGATCAAGGGATCCCCCTCCAAGAGCCCCAGTCACCATGGAGACACACACAGGGGGCACAAGGTAAAGGTTTTATAGCAGCACTTCTTTACCCAGTGTTTATAACCGGTCATGTACACACACGCTGTATTATAGGCAAAATATTAGAGAGCACGTCTGATCTCTTTAATAATTCTGTTTATGAACATCACTGTTGCTTTTGGTAACGTTAAAGACATTTCGCTTTGTATTGTGTTTGTATTGTGTTTGTGGTCTTAAAAGCTCAAACAGTGGCTTACAGAATTCAGCAACTGCCCATCGGTTTCTGCTGTGTCTTTCGAATAGACAGGTTTTCAGTTCCTTTCTAAGTGTCAGTGTTATTGTCTGTGGTAATCAATAGTACAGAACAGATGCAGCAGATAGAGGTTAGGTTGAAAAGTGACGGAATATTACTTTAATTCCCTTTAACTAGAGAAAGAAATAACACTTTCTATGAAAGTCGCATTTGTAAGCATCTATAAGCACATTTATAACATGTTATAATGTATTCATAAGGCTTTATAAATGTGGTTATAAATATTTATAAAAAAGGAATTACACTGAATTACACTTTATAGCCATGTTTATTATACATTATGAATTGTTAATATAATGCATTATAAACAGTGTTAATAACATGTTATACTGTCAGTGCCAAAGAAGTCAGTCCCAGCTTGGAGAGCGTAAAGTAAAGACAAATACCAAGCTAACGGTGGTGAACATTACCTTTCCCACATTGAGTAAAACACTGATGCAGCACTAGTTTAAACTCTGACATTTGAAGCCTGTAATGTGCTTTACTGTGAATGTTTTAGTGTTTCAGTAAATCCTTCAGTAAATCCTTCAACTTGAAGCCTCACTCTGAACACTGGAGGAGGCTTTAGTACAGTACGCTTCACTTTACTTTACTTTACTTATAATGTATTATGTTAACAATTCATAATGCATAATAAGCATGGCTATAACGTATAATGCATTTTTATAAATATTTATAGCCATGTTTATAATGCCTTATGAATGCATTATAACATGTTATGAATGTGTTTATAGATGCTTACAAAGGTGACACTCATAGAAAGTGTTACCAAGAAATCCTATCACCTTTTCTATTTTTTCCATCACTCTTTTTTCTTTTCCTGCCTCTTTAAAAGCCCTCCCCCATTCCACTGCCTCGACCTGGCTCCGCCCCCTGGCCTTACCTCCAGGAAGTCACCTGTGAATGGCTTTTCCTCACTCTGAGTGGCTCCACCCCCTCCCAATCCTCCTGTAGCTCTCCAGCCCCGCCCACTCCTCCACCCCTTCCTAGGATCCTTCAGAGTGCACAGCCCCTGCCCCCACACTCCCTCATTACGAGACTCCACCCCAAATCATATCCCTGCACTCAAGCAAGCCCCAGTTACACTGGAGCCTTCCTTTACAGCCACGCCTCTCATATGTAGCCCCGCCTCTCTTGTTCTAGACCACTGCGGCCTGCGGTACGATAGATATAACCTCACAGCCGCTGAACCAACCCAGCCTTTCACAATAGAGAGGAAACTGGCCTCAGATCAGAGTTCAGGGCCTTATATCGCAGAACCAAAGAAGACAAGAACCAGAAAACAAACCCCACCAGAACAGCTCCAAACGCAAGACCCTGCAGGGCTTATTAGAGAGTCAGATGCATATGATAAACTCCTGTCCATGTTTACACCACAGGTCAGAGAACCGCCCAGCACTTTGGCCAACAAGTCAAAACCCCTGGCCGATGTAGTGGTGCCACCTGACAGGTTAACACTGGACGAACCACCGTCCGTCAGTCTGGCCATCAGTTCAGAAAGCACAGCAGTCATAGATGATGAGTTCTGCAGGAAACAGAGTGAGGAGCTCCTGTCAGTTATACTGAATGACCAATCAGAGCCTTCTAGCCCTGTCACAGAGAGCATGTGGGCGGGGCTTCCTGAGCTATACATACAGGAAGAGGGTGACGAGCCAATCAGATCTCCTCCATCCACTCCTGTAAAGAAACATTCAAAACAAGAGGTAGAGCTTGCAACGTGTGACATCAGTTAATAACTACAGCACTGTCTATCTGTCTATCTGTCTGTCTGTTTGTCTATCTGTCTATCTATCTATCTGTCTATCTATCTGTCTGTCTGTCAGTCTGTCTATCTATCTGCCTGTCTCTGTCTGTCTATCTATCTATCTGCCTGTCTCTGTCTATCTATCTATCTGCCTGTCTCTGTCTATCTATCTATCTGTCTGTGTGTTTCTCTGTTTGTCTGTCTAACTGTCTTTCTGTCTGTCGGTCTATCTGTCTGTGTGTCTGTCTATCTATCTCTATCTGTCTGTCGGTCTATCTGTCTGTGTGTCTGTCTATCTATCTCTATCTGTCTGTCTATCTGTCTGTCCGTCTGTCTGTCTGTCTGTCGGTCTATCTGTCTATCTGTCTATCTGTCTGTCTATCTATCTGTCTGTCTGTCTATCGATCTATCTGTCTGTCTATCTGTCTGTCTGTCTGTCTATCTATCTGTCTGTTTGTCTATCTATCTATCTATCTATCTATCTGTCTGTCTGTCTATCTATATGTATATCTGTCTCTCTGTCTATCTATCTATCTGTCTGTCTGTCTATCTGTCTGTCTGTCTGTCTATCTATCTATCTATCTATCTATCAAGTTACCTAGCTTGCTAGTATCCATCTGTGCATCTCTCTGTTTATCTATCCATCCACCCATTCTGTCTCTGTAACCCATCTATCCATCCATACATTTATCCCTCTATCAATTAGCTGGCTAGTATCCATCTGTATTCTGTCTGTCATCCTTCCCTTCAAATATCTAGCCGTTTGTCTCTCTATCCATCATTACATTTATTCAGCCTCATCTATCCATCCATCCTATCTATCCATGCATCCATCAATCATCTATCTATCTAGCTACCTAGCATCTGTCTGTATTTGTCTAGCTATGATCCATGCATCTAAATATCTAGTGATTTGTCTGTCTATCCATCCATTCAACCATCCATCCATCCATCCATCCATCCTCTGTATTCATGCATCCATCAGTCACCCATCTATCTGTCTTGCTACCTAGCATCCATCTACATTTGTCTATCATCCATCTATCTCAGTGTGTAGCCACTTGTCTGTCTATCCATCCATCCATCTAGCTGTCTGTCTGTCGAGGTGTTCATTCATCTATTTGTCTGTCCATGTGTGACCCATCCATCCATGCGTCCAGTAATCCATCCATCCATCATCCTTCCATTTATCTGTCTATCTGTCCCTCCATTGATTCATCTGTCTGTCTGTCCATCCCGCCAATAATCTATCTCTATCCGTCCGTTCATGTTCTCAGTTCATGCTTTTTCGATCGTATGAAGTGTTGAAAGTTTCTCTTAAACATGAATTGAACTCTGTTTATGGGAATTGCAGTGTATGAACTGTGTCTCTGTTAAAGAGAGTAACTCAGCGCTCTCCTTCCCCCTGTTAGGCTGAAGCCTCTTCTGTTACACACTCCACTGGGTCCCCCTCCACACCTCCCCTTATCACTCCGTCATCTCTCTCTTTCCTTCCCTCCACATCCCCCACCTCACTCTTCCCCTCCTCTGATACTCCATCATCATCCTCAGATGCTCCCCTTTCTTTTTTACCCTCTTCCCTGAAGCTCTCTCTGTCACCATCTCCTTCTTCCTCTCGTCCGTTTCTTCACTTTTCTCCTCCAGCCCCTGCTGTGCCTCTGTCTCTCGCTTGTACTCCTCTATCCTCCCCTCTACCGCTCACCTTTCCTACTCCTACTCTATCTGCATCACTCCTTTCCTCTTCTATTCCTAAATCCACATCACCGACCTCCTCTCCTTGTAACTCTCCTCCTTTTTTTCTTACCTCTCCTCATTCCTTTTATCACAAGTCCTCTGATCCCTCCAAGACCACTCCTTCGTTTTCATCCTCCTCCTCTCTTCGCCCCCCATCTCCTCCCATTCCCTCTCTTCCTCCTTTATATCCCTCACAGCAGCCTCACCTTCCCTCCATTCCTGCCTCTCCTCCCTCCTCTCCTTCTCCACCCTCAGAGCGAACTGCATCTCCCAAAATCCCACCCTCCTCTCCGTTTCTTCCCTCAACGCAAACTACATCTCTCATGGTTTCTCCTTGCTCCTTGTTAAAGCGGACAACATCTCCCAGAATTCCATTTTACTCTCCTTCTGTTCCCTCAGAGCGAACTACATCTCCCACAATTCCACCTTCCTCTCCCAACCCTTTCTTGGAACAACCTATATCTCCCACACTTCTTCACTCTTCTCCCTTAGAGCGAACTTCATCTCCCACAATCCCACCTTCCTGTCCCTCAGAGCGAACTACATCTCCCACAATTCTACCCTTCCCTCCCTCAGAGCGAACTATGTCTCCCACAGTTTCACTCTCCACTTCCACAGAGCGAACTACATCTCCCACAATTCAACTTTCATCTCCCTATGCGCAAAATACATCTCCCACACTCCAACGCTTCTCTCCCAGTCCTCCTACAGAGGAAGCTACATCTCCCACAGTTCCACTCTCCACTTCCTCAGAAAGAACTACATCTCCCACAATCCCACCTTCCTGTCCCTCAGAGCGAACTACATCTCCCACAATTCCACCCTTTTCTCCCTCAGAGCAAACTACATTGCCCACAATTCCAACCTTCCCTCCCTCAGAGCAAACTATGTCTCCCACAGTTTCACTCTCCACTTCCACAGAGCGAACTACATCTCCCACAATCTCACCTTCCTGTCCCTCAGAGCGAACTACATCTCCCACAATTCAACTTTCATCTCCCTATGTGCAAAATACATCTCCCACACTCCAAGGCTTCTCTCCCAGTCCTCCTACAGAGGAAGCTACATCTCCCACAGTTCCATTCTCCTCTCCCTCAGAGCAAACTACATCTCCCACAATTCCACTCTCTACTTCTTCAGAAAGAACTACATCTCCCACAATTCCACTCTCCACTTCCTCAGAAAAAACTACATCTCCCACAATTCCACTCTCCACTTCCTTAGATCAAACTACATCTCCCACAATTCCACTCTCCACTTCCTCAGAAAGAACTACATCTCCCATAGTTTCACCCTCCTTTCCCTCTCCTTCCCTCTCTTCACGCCTCCCTCTTTCCCAGTCTCCTCAGTGCTCTCCCCCTCTCTCCCAGTCTCCCCGGCCCTCCCCCCCTCTCTCCACTCGTCCGTCCGCTCCCCCTCTCTCTCCTGGCTCTCAGCACCGCTCTCCCCACATTAAGGTAAAGGAGAGAGGATCTCTGAGTGAACAGACGTCACTCTGCTCACTAACACTAACCAGGCTGACCGTGTTGGCGTGTGGTCATTAGCGTGTGCTGCAGTGTGCAGTGGTTTGGCTCAGTGATGGCCGAGTGTGAGGGAGTCTGAGTAAATGTGTGAGATGTGCTGCGTGAGGATGTGGTGTGGAATACGATGCAGCTCAGCATTAACATCTTATCAGCAGATAAAACCGGAGGTTCCTTACAGTGTTAAAGGGCCCGTCTCACACGTTGTTGTATTTTAAGTTCACTTATAATAATCATGTTGGTTTATGTACCAAAAACAGTGGCAGGACTACTTTCCAAACCTCTGTTCATCCCTATGCTTTTAAGACTGGCATAGGCCTGCCGGGCCCTCAGAGGCGCTCTGACGATTTCTGTGAGATAAAAAATACGTGTCTGTCATTTTTAGCTCATCTTTATTTAAACGTTTATTGTGCTTGTTTGTATTTGTGGTGATGCTCTTATTTCATTGTTAAGCTCCAGTTGAAAAGAAAGGGATCAGTTCAAAGACCGCCAAACAGAAATTGGATCCTTCAGGACTTCAGGAGCTGTTCTGATTGGCTGAGCCCTTTACAAGACTTCAGCATGAACGGGCAGGTTTAACTGCTGCCGGCTGAATGAGCGGTTATGGAAAAACACGTTAAGGGTTGTGATGTCACAACCATGGTGAATATGTCATGGACTGGGAATGTTTCGGAACGAAAAAATAAGGATAAATCAGTTTTTCATGATATGGGCCCTTTAAAATGAAGGAATGAATGTCAGGACTGCCACTAACGGAGTGCTGTGCTGCCTGCAGTTGGGATGTTGGTCAGATCTCGAGTGTCCACTGTTCTCACGGCTGCCCCGGGTCTGACTCTTGCAGACGCTTTATAAGCAGGACGTGGTGGTGGAGGGCAAACCGCCGCGCAGCCCCATCTCCACCAGGAGGCGATGTATGTCCCCCTCGTTTTGCTCCAGTAGGGCGCGCAGGGTAGGAAGGCCGTGTGTGGTGACACTAGCAGCAGTGCAGGCTGGGAAATGGAGTCCTCTCTAATGCCCCCCCCCTTTGTAGTTCTCTCATCTCCCTGCGCATGAATAACCTATGAAAATGCTGTCGTTGTTTTGAATCTACTTATAAAGTGGTGCGGTTTGCAGTGACCGTCCAGCTGCTCGTGAGCTGGGAATGACCTCCTGTTCTGGACAGCGCCTGTCGCACCACTCACACAGTCTCTCAACAACACACCGATGAACATGCTGTCTCTCTCTCTTTCTCTCTCAGAGGATGACGCAGGATTCCCTCCATGGAGCAGGAGAACCGTAAGTGTCTTCATCAAACATGTGGCATGACATTAAAGTGATAGTACATCTGGAATTGTTTTTTCCATATAGGTCAAATTGTTCCCCCTCAACCCTGTTCACAGTGGTGGGGATAGGAACCAGACGTCCACCTCTAAAAGCTCCCTCACAGAAAGTTCCTACATGAAATGGTTATGAATTCACTGCCTGATGACTGAGACACTGTTTTATGATGGTTTAGAGAACTTAAACTCCATTCATGGTGGAGGGATACATGCAGGGCGCTGTGAGGCAAAATAGTCCCCAAAGAAAACTTATTATTTCAGATTTTCCACTATTTTCCATCATCAACATTCCATATAAGCTCAGAAGACTCGTGTAGGTTCACTGGTGGTTCTGGATAGTAAATAAAATGTCTATATTTGTGTTGTAGTCATGGTGACCCCTGGTTCCTATCACCACCACTGTAAAGACATCTGAGTCTGCAAGTTTCTCTACACTGAATCATTTCATATGCAGAATTCTTGAACAGTTGGTGGAATTTCCCTTTGAACCTAGAACAACCAATGTATGACATAGTGTAGTACTTGTGAACTATATGTTGGCACAGCAATAGAAATTAGATTTGCCAACTATGAGTGAAATACATATTTACAGTCCTATAATGTGCAGAATGTATTATTGGGACACAGATATAATTAATTAACCCTTACGTGGCCACAGGCCCAAGAACAGCTCTGCCAGTTTACACTGAAGTCCCTGTAGTTACTGAATAATAAGCCTCAGTATTTTAAGGGGTTGAAGAACCTGAACGGAGGACAGAACCTTCCTTAACTGCTGTGCTCTACAGAGTTAATGATGTCACGTATATGATGCTGCCCCTCGTGCGCAGGTTCCAGGCCGTGTACAACTACGTGCCCCGGAATGAGGATGAGCTGGAGCTGCGCGAAGGCGACGTGATCGACGTGATGGAGAAATGTGACGACGGCTGGTTCGTAGGTGTGTGACCTGCTACGTTAGCCTGTTATCATGTACACACACTCACTGGCCCCTTTATTAGGAACCCCTCCACCTCACTGGGGAACAGTTAGAGTTTGAAACATGGGCATTAGCCATCCACTAGCCCTTCATCAGTGGTCAGTTTCTGACCACAGAGCTGCTCTTGTCTGGACATTTTTGGGTGGTGGTCCACTGACGTGTCAATATCCCAGCACCAGCGTCGCTGCTGTGCTAAGAATGGACCACCACTCAAATAACGTCTGAACAGCAGCGGTGCTGTGGTCAGGAACTGACCAATGATCAATGGAAATTGTGCAGCAATAAATGAGCTACAGTATCTATAACTGTTCACCTGTGTGGTGGAGCTATAACGGAGGCGTTTCCAATAAAGTGGCCAGTAAGTGGAAGTACAAGGTAGGTGTTTCCAATAAAGTGGCCAGTGAGTGGAAGCACAAGGTAGGTGTTTCTAATAAAGTGGCCAGTGAGTGGAAGTACAAGGTGGGTGTTTCTAATAAAGTGGCCAGTGAGTGGAAGCACAAGGTAGGTGTTTCCAATAAAGTGGCCAGTGAGCAGAAGTAGAAGGTAGGTGTTTCTAATAAAGTGGCCAGTGCATGGAAGCACAAGGTAGGTGTTTCAAATAAAGTGGCCAGTTAGTGGAAGAACAACATAAGTGTTTCTAATAAAGTGGCCAGTGAGTGGAGCTTCAAGGTAGGTGTTTCAAATAAAGTGGCCAGTGAGTGGAAGCACAAGGTAGGTGTTTCCAGTAAAGTGGCCAGTGAGTGGGAGAAGATGAAAGGAATTTCGAATGGAGTCAGTGGTGAGCGCTTGAACGGTTTGTCGGATGACGGCAGTTCAGTATGAGCTTGTTGACATCCGGTGCCACTTAGTGGACAGTTGGAGGTTTTGTCAACACTGTTGATGATGCTTGTGCAACATATAGTGCTGTAATCACACAGAGGAGCTGAGTAATTGCTGTTGTGGCTTCTGCTGCACAGCTCCTGAGATTTCCTCTCCTGCAGAGCTCCAGCTCAATCTAACACACCTGGCTCTGATATTCAGAGGAGTCAGAAGATCAGTGTTGGATTTAGACTGGCCAGAGGGTAGATCTCCAGGAGCAGGGCCGGAAACTCCTGACAGCGATGAACAGCACAGCTCATGGCTGCACATATCAAATCCATTACAGTAAATCAAAAGCAATATTAAAGGGCCAGCGCCGTAACCACACGGTGTGACCCACTGCACACGCTGTGTACACCACACTGCCAAATAGCTGTTCTACACCAAGTGCTCATTTGTTCATTTCCCTTCATTATTACAGTTAGACTGTTTAATTATTCAACTATTCAACAATTAATTAATTATACGTTTAATTTTAATAAACATTTTATTGTTTAAGTAACTCAAGCTATCTTACTTAAACAGTAAATCTATACAGGACTCTTATTGTGATCGGGTGCGCTTGTTTGAAGAAGATGAACATATCTTCTAACTCTGCTCGCCAAATATAGACTTACACCACATTAAACCACACTGAATGACTTTGCATCTCAGATTACACTGAAATTTTGAAAAATTGGTGGTATTCCCCTTAAGTCTCACAGCCTACACCTCCTCTGAAATTGATTTTAAGTGCTTCCAGCTGGTTTGTCTGCCCACGCTGTTCTTCTGGAATGGTGTTAACTGCTTCAATTAAGGTCAAATTTCCTGTAGCCCAGCTGGAGTAACCAACAAAGTGCTGCACACGTCAGGAATGTTCCAGGTACCGAGGAGCAGAAGGGCACAGCTGGTTTTGGGCTCACGCTGCGTGAATAACTGTAGGGCTGGTTGATACAGTCAGAAAGCATACTGATGAGTATATATACCAATCAGCCATGCTATTAAACCCACCTCATTGTATCTACACTCACTGTCCATCCTATCAGCTCCACTGACCATGCAGTCTCACTGTAGCTCTACAGTTACAGACTGTAGTCCATCTGTTTCTCTGCACCCTGTTCTTCAGTGGTCAGGACCCCCATGGACCCTCACAGAGCAGGGACTATTTGGGTGGTGGATCATTCTCAGCACTGCAGTAACACTGATGTGGTGGTGGTGTGTTAGTGTGTGTTGCGCTGGTCTGAGTGGATCAGACACAGCAGTGCTGCTGGAGTTTTTAATCACCTCAGTGTCACTGCTGGACTGAGAATAGTCCACCAACCAAAAATATCCAGCCAACAGCGTCCTGTGGGCAGCGTCCTGTGACCACTGATGAAGGACTAGAGGATGACCAACACAAACTGTGCAGCAGCAGATGAGCTATCGTCTCTGACTTTACATCTACAAGGTGGACCGACAAGGTAGGAGTGTCTAATAGAGTGGACAGTGAGTGGACACAGTGTTTAAAAACTCCAGCAGCACTGCTGTGTCTGATCCACTTGTACCAGCACAACACACACTAACACACCACCACCACGTCAGTGTTACTGCAGTGCTGAGAATGATCCACCACCCAAATAGTACCTGCTCTGTGAGGGTCCATGGGGGTCCTTTTTTTGTTATTGTTTTATCATCCAGGCCTGTTCTGATGTTTTTTTTTTCCTTCACACATTTATCCTTCCTCTTTCTTTTCTTCTCTTCTTTTTCTTCTTCGTCGGCTCTAGGAACATCTCGGCGGAGCAGGATGTTCGGAACGTTCCCAGGAAACTACGTTAAGCCACTTTAACGAAGATTACGGCACAACCACAGCGACTCCGATGCCTTCCATATAGGGCCAATGTGGAACCTCAACCCTGAGTGTGTGTGTGGGTGTGTGCTTTCTTATGTGTGTGTGTGTGTGTGTGTGTGTGTGTGTGTGTTCACATGCAAAAACAATTTTAGCTTTCACTAGCCATCTCTACAGACTCCTCCAATGAAGTTTTTTCTTTTTTTCATTTGATAAAAATTAAAAAAAGGTTTTGGTTTGGTTTGAACGTTCAGCTTCCTGGATTATAGTTCAGCAGCTCACAACTGTATTTACATGCTCTATAACAATATATTATTTATTAGTGATAATAATTTCTGATAAGCAATAGTTGCGGAAGATGTGGGTAGGAAATGTTCGGAGAAGAAAAATGATCGACGGCAACAGAGTCGTTTAGTGTCCGAGGAAGTGTGTGTGTGTGTGTGTGTTTGCACGTTTGTAGAGTTAGATTGCTGAAGGACCATATAGCAAAAGTTCGTAAGTGGATTTCTGGGATTTTTCTGATTTTAAGTGAAGGATTTTGCGTAAAAGCAATAAGGAAACCTGTGCTAATCTGACATTCATTCTGTTTGTGTAAAAACACATATATATTGTGTTAACACTTTGCTCATATTTGGGCGAATTATTAAAAAGATGTCCATGTATGTGCAACGAGGAATTATTTACAGCAGTATCGTTACTCGCCATGGAGGTTTAAACTGAACGAAGTATTATTTGGACACGGCAATCGATCCGTTTGTATTAAAATACATTAAAATGCATTATGCCTGTGAAAGTGTTCAGCTGTCCAGGTCACTGAATTGTCTAATAGCAGTAAGCCAAGGCAACCGGACCTGTGGTTCCTACGACACGTAAGTCTTCAATCCCTTTAACTGCAGGCTTATTACTCAGTCATTAAGCTTTAAGTCTTTGATTCAGTGACTTCTATTAATTATTTGTATCTTCTGTGAAATGTGTAGTTGCAGTTGCCTAGCAACCACTACACCTTCCCTTGCAATCATTTCCGGTACCACCCGGAATACCACAGCAACCACTGTGACTGTCTGACACAATCTGACACAAATTATGCCACATTGGACACCTCTAGCAGTTGCCTAGCAACCACTACACATTCCTAGCAATCACTTCCAGCACCTTAGCAACCCCACAGCAATACCCTAGCAACCACCAGAGAAACCACAGCAACCACCTAGCAACATTCTAGCAACCACCTGGAATACCATAGCAACCACATAGCACTACCCTAGCAACCACCAGAGAAACCACAGCAACTGCCTGGAATACCATAGCAACCACACAGCACTACCCAAGCGACCACCAGAGAAACCACAGCAACCACCTAGCAACATTCTAGCAACCACCAGGAAAACCATAGCAACCACCAGAGAAAACACAACAGCTGCTTAGCAACCTTTGCAGGACTGTTTTTTCTATATGATTTAGAAGTGAAGGCATCTCTGGCTGCTGGTTCCTGTTTAGCAGGGATTTTAATAGCATGTATGAACACATGCATCCCAGTGATGTCCCCGGTTTGGGGATCTCAGGAAAGGGCTGGATTGCATTTGAACAAGGTCCAAAGTACATACAGGCCTGAATCAAGGGTCTCAGGTTCAAAACATCTTCATCAACTGTACCACAAATCCGGTCACCTTGACTTACTACGTCCTGGACGTTAAACGGTGTTGGCACTTTGGCCTGTGATTAGCATTTCTGGGTAATTTTCTGACATTAGACTAACGGACTTGCGTTCCTTGTATTATGAAGAGAGTTTTATGAATATCTTGGGATTTGAAGTTCCATTCATGCTGGTTTGAGTGTTTATAGATCGGTTGCCAGATATAATGTAAAGAAAATGTTAAGGGCAAATTGTTGTGTGAAATGAACTTGTATGGAAGACAAAAGTTTGTTTTTCCCTCTCTGTCACTCTCTTTTTCTCTTTTTGTCATGTTTCACACCTTTTTTGTCACAATGTGGCTTTGATGCGAATTATTCTCACAAAATTCACTTTAAAATGATGCACAATGTAACAGGCTTCAGAGAGAACTTTGAAGAATATGTTTTCTAATGCGCTTGTTTTTGCTTTTGTCAAAAAAGTCACGCTGGCCCTGTTCACACCTGGTATTAGCATCCATCTTGAGTGATCTGGTCACGAGTGGACAGCGAGTGGACGTGTAATCTGGCATTTCATTGGGTCTCGAATCTGACTCTAGTGACCACTTATGATCAGTTCCATGACAAAACAGTCTCTGTGATCACTGTGTCTTGTAATTATGTAGTGTAATGCGTTACAGTCAATTTTTCTAATCACGTTACAGAAACTGACTTAATTAGTATTCTGTTACTTGTGTTACTCATCTGTCTCCAAGACAACAACATGGATTATGTGCGATCCATTTAAAAGATTTTTTTTACATAGATTAGGGCTGTACAACAAGGACACCAAACATGATTTTCGATAAAGCATTTTGATATCATAATGGTGATTCGAGAAGCAATAAATTATGATTCACTATTGTGCAAAATTAAAAGAATTTTCACAGCTACATACGTCAGAACTGCAAGTACCTTTTTTGTTCCCTGAAAGGCTGAAACATAATTCCTCATTATTCCTAGGCTAATAAAGATACATCCATTACATAGACACACAAAAGCTCCTTATAGTGATGCAGGTTTGTTGTAACAGCAGCCATTACTGCTTGACACAATTAACATGCAGCACTGGTTTTGAGAATAATCATGACCCACATTTACAGGCTAATAGTTCAGGACAGAACAGTTCAAAAACTTCAAACGCTTCGTTCCTCCAATCTAATTATGCAGCTTGTGAGGTAACAAGATCTACAACTCTTAACCATGTGTTCATCCCAGAAACAGTGCAGGATTATCCGTGCCTGTCCTAATTGTGTCTCCTAATTGTAACAGTTGACTGTGGGACACACTGTAAACGATCTGTCAACGCATTTAATCATGCTAATATGGAGCCGGTCCTATGCCCTGTCTGGGGCAGTGGCACGTTAGTGCCCGAGAACACAGCCAAGTATACGCATTCAGTTGTGGGACTTGAACCAACAACCTTCTCGTCACTGGTTCACCTAATCTAGGCTACCGGTCACTCCAGCATGCATAGTTTTACTTTGAGGCAGCTGTTTGAGCTGGTAACAATCAGGAATACCCAGCCCCTGGAGGGGTTTGAACCCACACCCTTCCGGTTGCAGGCTCATCTCTCAAACCATCTGTTTTGGATCTGTTTTTGAACTTTCTACTAGATAGTTTTTCAGTTTTAGAACAGCCGTTTGTCAAGCATTGTCTTATTCTGGTAGAGACAGTTTCAGTCCTTTTACATGGCGTTTACTGGAACTGTCTGTTTCTTTCTAAATAAAACAAGTAACGGATTCTTGGATCTTACCATTGGTACGGATTTGAGTGGGTTTTAGGGTGTTTTAGGGAGCTTTTTCCAGACCCAGCACTGCTTGCTCTGTGAGTTCGTTACATTTGGTCAAGTGTGACAGCTGTTTTCAAGCCCAAGACCAGTCCAGAGAACCAATCTCTGGTGGTTCTGAAATGGTTGGTCTGGGGTTCACTTCCAGCCAACTCTGGTGCGGCCCGCTGCATCTGAAAGCTATCCGCTCCCGGCGCCATGTGTGGGGTTGCGTAATTGGTTCATTTTGTAATTTGACGGCTTCGATTTTTTTCCTTTTCAAGTTTCGAGATGGTGAGGAAAGGATTGGTGCAGTCAGTGAAGAAGATATCTTGAACGAAGAAGTCATTCAAGTGCAAATGGCCACTGCAAATGGCAAATGGCAAATGGCCAATCTCCAATAACAAAATAATAAAAAGAGGCAAAAAGTTGTGGCTACCATTTTGCAAACCTTGGTGCGGAAAAGTGACGTATGGAATCATAGAATCGATCCATGGTTTGGAGGGATTTCTTGCGTGAAAGCAAACCAGCGATAATGAGCACCTTCCCCAGACGAGCCCAGTATCGGCCCTGGGTACAGACTCAAGTATTACATAGAACGTAATGAAATGAAAATAATAAATGAAAGAGTAGTGATTGAAGGAACCCCTTTACAGTTTGAGAGGAGAAATTAGTAACCCAACACTACTAAGCGCTGTAAACTTGATCAAAATGTGTGTTTGTAACAGGTGTGAACAGGGCCACTTAGTTTTGAAGGGTTACAATGTTACAGAGGACAATTCAGTATTTTCTGCACAAGCAGTGTAGCTTCACTGTGTTAAACTCCATGTTTTCATCTGCTTGTGATGGACGTGTGTACGCGTGTCAAAACGTGTGATGTAACAGCATCTTTAAAGCACCTTAAGCACATTAGTTATGAGTGAGATGAGTTTTCTGCACTTTTCTGGTTTGCGTTTGCTCTCAGAAGCTTCACCAGTTTGATTTCCTTTTTGTTTTTTGTATGGTCACGTATATCGACTTGCTTTATAAAGTCTGTCTTTGCTCACTCACTCATCGCTTTGGGTTTTTCTTTCATTTTAATTTCACCCATGCAAACCATCCATGTGCCAAAAACATTTGGACGACAACTGAAAAAAAAAAACGTTATGCAAAAATTCAGCACCAGACATTCTTTCGGGACTGGAGAAGCGCATTACCTCAGCGCGGGACTGAAATGGACTGAAGATTTTCTTTTTTTGATAGAATTTTCTTGCTTCTTTGGACTTTTTACGGTATGATTCCCGTATTTACAGACTTTCTAATAATTAACAGACACACACACGTATATACCGCTCTCTGCTGTGTCTGAATAGTGGGCTGAAGCGAAGCCCCTTTCTTTTACTCTCTCTCTCTCTCTCTGTCTGCTCTGTCGTTTAATTCCGTATCTAATAAATTTCTTCGCAGTGATCAGCCTCTGTTCTCTGGTCTGTCGTAAAGCAGTCGTCTCGGAGCGTTCCTGGCTTCGGGGAACGTCCCATAGATTTATGTTTGTGTCACAAATCTGCAGAGATGCTCGACTGTAATCCTCTCGGTTTATAACCTGTCTGCACATAAAAGTGTATGGGTGAGAGAGAGAGAGAGAGAGAGAGAGAGAGAGAGAGAGAGAGAGAGAGAGAGTGTAGGTGGTTCTCCAGTGCTGTTTCCATTCAGAGCCTCTTGTCTTTGTTTTGCTTTGTGTATTGAGCTCTTCGCAGCGACCAGATGTGCCCAGTATGATGAAGCTTTGGGGCACAACACCACATTTTGTTTTTTTGGAAATTCATTTAAAAATATTTAAGTTGGAATAATCATGTTTTTATACAAGCAACACAAACATCTCTGCTACAATCGAACACTTGAACTGTGTTTCTAGCTCCTACCGTTTAGTACAACTCCACCCAAAATGAGGGAAGTGCAGTGTTCCAGTTTAGCCCATGGGTGGGTTCACTGTAACAGACAGAGGGTCAATTTAACACCTGCTAGAAAAGTCTGATGAAAACACCTGATGACCTTTACTGAAGGAGTCTGAGCTGTAACGCCGTGTAAACACTAACCCCGCAGTGCGGAGGCTGAACTTAAGCCCAGCTGCACTTGCTGTGAGCTTGTCAGCTGCTTCAGTCCAACGTTCCAGGCAACACGGTGGAGATTAAAGTAATATAAGGTTGGATTTTGTGATTTACACAAACAGCTCAGTAACCATGTCAAAAAAACGACTTCGCCCTGAGAACACTGAGAACTCAGAACTCTTCAAACCGCTGATGAATGCTCTGAATTTTGGTGGGAGACTGCGGCTAAGAAAAACGGCAATGTGGACAGAAGCTCACGCTGCTTGAGACCTTATACCATCATATGCCCATGTTAAATTGTGCCCCGAGTTGGGTTGTTCCCCACACTTCCCCACAAAACCTGCAGCTTTTACTAGCAAAAAAAGAGGCCAAAGCTGATCTTTTGGTTGCCAAGGTTAAGATTAGGTTTGGGTCTGGTAGAACTCAGAACTAGACACAAATACAAACTGAATTAGCTAAGCTAGCAACCAAACCAAAGCTGGAAATCTTTATGCTTTATTTATTAGTCATGAAGAGTTACCTAAATGCCAATACGTGCTCATAGACGTGTGATTATGAGTGTAGTTATATATATTTAACAGTTCTAAATTACATAGGACTTGATTCCCATCTAAAAAAGGATTAGGATTAAAACCTACTGGTTTTGCTTTCTAATGGGAATTGGCTTAATGGTTTCCAAAAGACACCATAGTTTCTTGTAGGACACATTTAGATCCCATCAAAAGCATTTAGAATCAGCCATTAGTCACCTGTTTTTTCGGCAGGTATAAGCTTTTGCTGAGGTTAACATCAGGGTTGGATTGTGTAGCACAGCACTGTTTAGATATATTGACACAAAATATCATAAAAATATAAACCGAAATAGGTTTATTAGCTAAAAATTAGCCTATCTAGACAGCATATCCTGTGGCCGGAAATCATCACTGATTTTAAATTACTCAGGTAGCACATTTAAGGTTTGCCTCAGTCGGTAAACACCAGTAGCTGCTGTCAGGTATTTTGAATCGCATCATATGAGCTTTTATTTGGTGATGTTAAGGCATTTACACACTTAGCAATACCACTTGAATTAGCCAGCTAAAAAGTGGTGTAGCTAGCTACTAAAGGACAGCTAGAAACCCAGTGTTTCTACATTTCGTATTATATTCAGGCTCCAATGTTGACCTCAGGCCAACAGTGTCACTTCATTCTTATGGACGTGTGATGATGTACAGTAGTTTTTAAATCACATAGCTTCTGGTTGATAATGTTAGCATTACGAGGTGTAGCAGAGCAGCATTTCCACACACTCACAGAGAAACGCCACAGATTAGGATTGAGTTAGGTCTAGCATAGCAGCTCATAGTTAGCCTAGCTAGCTAGCAAAACATAAGACAGTGGCCAGAATTGTGGCCAGAAATCCTCAGTTTTACACTCCTTTATTTATTCAGGCAGTCATGAAGTCTTAACTCAGTCATAGACTTATCTCAGTCATAGTCTTACCTCAGTCATAGTCTTACCTCAGTCATAGACTCAGTCGTAAAAGTCTTACCTCAGGCGTAAAGGCTTACCTCAGTCATATAGTCTTACATTTAGCTGAGGTAGTGATATTAGCATTTAGTCATTAGTGATGTTAGCATTTAGCTGAGGTTGGTGATATTAGCATTTAGCCGTTAGTGATGTTAGCATGAGGTAGTGATATTAGCATTTATCCGTTAGTGATGTTAGCATGAGGTAGTGATATTAGCATTTATCTGTTAGTGATGTTAGCATTTAGCTGAGGTTAATGATGTTAGCATTTAGCTGAGGTTGGTGATATTAGCATTTAGCCGTTAGTGATGTTAGCATGAGGTAGTGATATTAGCATTTATCTGTTAGTGATGTTAGCATTTAGCTGAGGTTAATGATGTTAGCATTTAGCTGAGGTTAGTATTGTTAGCATTTATCTAGGGGAGTGATGTAAGCACTTGTTAGCTGTTAGATGTTAGCATTTAGCCATTAGTGAGGTTAATGATGTTAGCATTTAGCTGAGGTTGGTGATGTTAGCATTTAGCTGAGGTTAGTGATGTTAGCATTTAGCTGAGGTTAGTGATGTTAGCATTTAGCTGAGGTAGTAATATTAGCATTTAGCCATTAGTGATGTTAGCATTTAACTGAGGTAGTGATATTAGCATTTAGCCATTAGTGATGTTAGCATTTAGCTGAGGTAGTGATATTAGCTTTTAGTCATTAGTGATGTTAGCATTTAGCTGAGGTTGGTGATATTAGCATTTAGCCGTTAGTGATGTTAGTATGAGTTAGTGATATTAGCATTTATCTTTTAGTGATGTTAGCATTTAGCTGAGGTAGTGTTATTAGCATTTAGCCTTTAGTGATGTTAGCATTTGGCTGAGGTTAGTGATGTTAGCATTTAGCTGAGGTAGTGATATTAGCATTTAGTCATTAGTGATGTTAGCATTTAGCTGAGGTTGGTGATATTAGCATTTAGCCGTTAGTGATGTTAGCATGAGGTAGTGATATTAGCATTTATCTTTTAGTGATGTTAGCATTTAGCTGAGGTAGTGTTATTAGCATTTAGCCGTTAGTGATGTTAGCATTTAGCTGAGGTTAGTATTGTTAGCATTTATCTGAGGTTAATGATGTAAGCATTTAGCCATTAGTGAGGTTAATGATGTTAGCATTTAGCTGAGGTAGTGTTATTAGCATTTAGCTGAGTTAGTGATGTTAGCATTTAGCCATTAGTGATGTTAGCAACAGCCATAAAGAAGAACATTCAAAATCCCCACAACATCAAGAACACAAACTACAGCTCTACGATGTATAATGTGAACGAGAGAAGTGCCAGTGAAACTGCCCACACAAATCTTTGGGCTTCAGCGAGGGACACGGCCAAAGCCACCGAAATATTTCAGAAGGTTTTTTGGGTTACAGCAATGACCCTTGTTTTGATTGGCTGATCCCCAATAGTGCTTGAGGAAATAAACCAATCGAGCTGGAATTTGATAAATTAACATGTCGCTCAGAGTTTACATTGCTCTTCTATCCTTACACACGAACGAGGCCTTTCGGTAATAAATAAGGGTTAATCATTCCATCTTTCCTGCCAACACTTTGAGAAAAAGGCAGGAGAATGAAAAACAAAGCGCGAGTATGAAAGAGAGAAAGAAAGAGCCTTGTTTGGATGGGAGAGAAGAGGCTGAGGAGGTGTTGGTCACTTCTGGAAGCAAATAAAGAGACAAAAACATCTCACTCTTCCAAGAAACCATGAACATACTGGAAAGAGAGGGGAAGAAATGGAGAGATAAGTGAAGGAGAGGGTGTATCAGTAAGAAAAGAGCGAGAGAGAGTGAGCAGAAGAATTTGTGTGTGTGTGTGTGTGTGTGTGTGTGTGCATGTTGAGCTCCACCACTCTCCACTGTGCTTCACCAAATAAGGTCAGGAGAGCTAAGCTTCGTCCTCCAGGCACTTCACCAGCCTCGCTCTCCCAGCCACAAGGAGACCAGGCTGGGAGTTTCACGCTAACTTCACATGCTGATCCCACTGGCCTGTTTTGCTGTTTTCCTAACATTTCTCCCACTGTACAAATCAAGCAAAGGCTACAAACCATTGACCACTGGAGTGTCAGCAGCAGTTCCTGACCTGCAGGACTTTGGATTCGCACCCACTAGTCTTGCAAGACTTCTGGGGGTTTGTTCGCTTAGTGTTGCCAATAACTGGCTCAATTAAAAGTGACTAAAACTATGTGGACATCCCTCCTAATTACTGAGGTCAGGTGTGTAAAATCAAACACAGAGCCTTGCAGCCTCTATAGACAACTGGCAGGAGAGGGTCGCACTGATGAGCTGAGTGACGTTAAACATGGTAGTGTTATAGGATGACACCTCTGACACATGTCAGCCCTGCTAGATCTGCCCCTGTTAACTGTAAGTGCTACTGTAAAAAAGGAAACAAGTGCATAACACAAAATTGCTTATCCTCTGTTGCAT